GCTGTAAAGTCGCACATGTTCATAATTTGTAGTGTCAGCTTACAGAGAAGAATTAACTCTAACACCAAATCAATCTCATATCGATATCTTTAGGGTAAGCAACCTGTACACGTTGGTCTCAAGCTCTGAATTATTTCAAGGCAACAGTGTATTTAGCATCCATCACATTTCAACTTTATATTTAGACTTTAACAAAGTATATCCATTGTCAGAGTTCCTGGATGATGCGAATGACTATGCACTGGACTATTAACTGAAAGGTTGGCGGTTCAAACACACGAAGAGATGCCTCATGAATCTACGTCCAAAATTCTTGGAAGACTTGGAAGTCCAAAAGTCTATAGAGAGTCTCCATCCACACTGAACCTGTGGGTTCAGCATTGTTCCGAACCCACCCATTACCACCACCTCCACCAGAATGTAACACCAAGAGTACTAACAAATAAAAAGGAAGTCTTCAATGTAAGAGCTTTACATCACTTTCTAAAAGACTGGATAATTCCCATTCATTCTTGTAGCCACCTTGACTTCCAATTTAATTATTTTATTTGAATTAATAATAAATTGCAGTGTGCATGACAGGATTAAGACAACTGGAAAAATGATTTGGAGCCAACTCACTCTCTCTGTGGTTTTTACTAAGTTCTGGTGGCTAAGTGGTAAAGAATTGTGTTGCCAACCTAAAGGCAAGTGTTTTGAATCCTCCAGCTGCACCTCAGAAGATAGATGGGCAATTATTTGTGAGGGTCTGCAAACCTGCTGGAGGGCTGGCCAGCTGAGTGGATTCAGATTCAGCCATACATTATAGCAATCATTGTTTTTACTTAATGCTGTCAGATGTGTATAGAGTAGGCGACTATGCTTACATCAGGAAAAAAAAAATATATATATATATATAATTTTTTTTTTATATATATATATATATATATAAAACCTCTGGTGGCCTAGAGGCAAGAAGCTGCACTGCAATCCCAGAGGTGTGTAGTTCAAATCCACCAGATGCTCTGCTGGAGAAGGAGGGGCAATCTCCTCCTGTACCAGTCAGATCCAATTTGATGGCACACACACAAAAGATAATTTAAAAAAAAGAATATATGCAAAATATTTAAAATAGAAATTGTTTTCTTTCTTAAAATTTGCTGTGTTCCATACAACTGCTTGCCATTCTGATTTGTGTTCCCACTCTTCACCCCTCCCTCCTTTCTGCCCTCCTTGTCTCCTTGTCTTCCTTCCTTCCTTGTGTAAAGGGGCTTCATGAAAGTAAAATAAAATGTCAGTATGAAGGCTTATGAAGAAACAAAAGAAGTTGAAAAAAGAAAATAAGATCAGGGAAGAGTCACAGCACAGAGCACATTATTCCTAGAGATTGTGCACATATTTACTAGTGGTGATTTATAGACTTGGCTTTGAATTTCCAAGAAACTCTAGCAAAAGAAAGATAACAATATTTCATTCCAATAAGAAGGTCTTTTTGCTGCTAATGTTGATAAAAAAGCACATTATCTTTTTCATAGAGGAAGAAAGGAATCCTAAATCAAATATTTATACTAAAGAAGGAAGAAGCTCAGAAGACCCCTGGGCAGTTTAACCAGAATGTGCAGGCAGCCCAGGGGCGACAAAGGGAGGATGAAATGGAAGACACTTCTTTAGTTAAAGAATAGAATTAAGGTTTAAAATAAATTTTTGTGTTCCCTGGAAGTCTAGAGTCATTATTTTGAGAAACATCTAAATTCAAGTTTGTATACGTTTGCACTTCCTGCTACCTATTCATTTTTTCTCCCTAAATCTTCCACTTGCAGAAACTAAAAAAATGTTAGAAATAATTCCTGGAAAGCAGAAATCTTTCCACTGTAATGAAAATTTGCTGAAAAATTATCAAAGCTATCGTTTCTGTTTTCCTTTCTACAAGCCTTCCTAAAGAATGCAGCTATCACCACGAGAGCCCTGTCAGGAAACAGAGACCAGAAAATGGTAACAGGTGGGTGTTTGATTGTCTAGAGACAGCACCCTTTACCCCCCAGAGTTTATGATCTACTATTTACCAAAAGAAAGGACTGGTCAGGAACAAGCCTCTTCAACGAGGGCCTGAATCACCATGAGTCAGGCCATCCTGAAGGGATTGCAATGGGTGCAATGAGGGCACTTAGGAGAAATGTTTGTGACGCTTCCCATATTGCTGTTGGATATTCCCATATTCTGCAAACACAAAGCCGACCATTTCTATTTTTTCTTCTTTTTTTTTTAAGATCTTACCTGACTGACTTAAAGGGACCCTACTGCGTGTGGCAGACTGAAAGCTGGCTGATCCAGTGCCAGCCTCACAGTCTCTGCTGTGCTTTAAAGTCCCTTGTTGCAGTCACCATGTCAGTCCATCTCCTGGACAGTCTTTTTCTCCTTTACACAGAACTGCACGGCTCAGTGTTTATCTCACTACTGAGGTTCCTTTACCATTGCATTACATTTTCTATGTGTATGACCAACTTGGAGACCCTTAAAAACAGGTACTTCTCTTAATTGTGGCACTTAGTTTATAATTTAGGTGTTGAACTGATATTTATTAAATAAATGGGAAAAGTCACCATTTACTTATATTTTACATAGAGCAACATAACTGAAATACTAGAGACCAAACAAAGGCATTTGAGGAGATTGGCGTATGGAGACCTCAGGCGTGTTAAAATTGTGCTCCATCGTGTTTCTGGTGCCTCAATTTTCAGGTCACCAGGCCTCTCTTCTATTTTTCTCCTGTGGCCTTTTGACTGTGAACATTAACCAGAGTTCTACCAGAGTTTGGGCTTTAAACAAGATATTTTATTATTATGGACATCCAGAGGCTGTAATGAGGAGTAGATGGGAGGAATGATGTTACTAGGGGAGTCCTGCTAGCCTAATTATCAATAAGGAGTTGTGCTGCTAACTAAAAGCTACATAGTTCAAATCCACCAGCTGCTCTGTGGGAGAAAGTTGGGCAATCTCCTCCTGTACAATTTATTACCTCTGGAACCTGCTGGAAGGTCAGCTATGAGTCAATTCCAATAATTCCAGTTTGGTGGTACGTAACAACAGCTGTGTTTTTAACCTAGAGGCAATGCCTCTCTGGTGGTTTGCATTCACCAGCCACTCTGAGGAAAAATAATAGGCTGTCTCCTCCCATTTGATTTTTAACCTTGGAAATGCAGTGGACATCAGCATGAGAAAACTGTGATGGAGCCCGGGAGTGAGTGAAGATGAGCATATGTTGATAGATCACATCAGAAAACTTACAGAGAGCATGAACCACAAGTAATATGCTGGGGAATGACATCAGTTCACTTCCCACCCTACATCTGCAGAGCACCAGGGTGAATGGCTAATCTTCATTTAATTAAATTGCATGTGGCTATTAGAGTCAATGCTGCTATAAATAAATGTGTAAAAACCAGACATGTTAGGGATCACAATATTTTAATTATCCTCCCCAAAATGGCACTTTAATGAAGTAACTCAATTTGATATTGGAAACTTAGAAAACAATTTTGTAACTTGTCACTGTTCATACTTCTGCTCATCTCTGACCTTGCAATTAAAAAAATAATTGAGTTGTCTGGATTCTGCCATGCTTTCTATGTGTAAACAATTTCACAATTCTTAAAGGAAAATGAACAAAGTAAAACTAGAGGAAAATCAGAGGATAAATGGAGGAAAATTAAGTAAGTCAGCATTTCTGGTAAGTGACAAAGTCCAGAATGCTTTCTAATTGGTAGTAAAATGTTTCATTGATCAGGATCTTTCCACATATCTGGGTGTACTAGACCAGATCTACTGGAAAAAGATACTATACAGCAATGGCTGGCTGCTCAGCAACTCTCTCATCAAGTTCAAGGACTAGGCAAGGCATCAGGTGACACATTCTACCTTTAAGGAATTCCCTGGCTGCGGTGATAGTACATCTCTGCAATTTGAGTCATATTGCATGCAAGTTTCTCTCAAGATATTTCAGATATTTGACATATCCCGTTTGTCAGATTACTCTATTGTATCACACAGAGAGACACTGTTCCCCTCAGCTATACCTGAAACATACTTCTCTAAAGGTCTCTAGTGGAATGAAAAATGTTCCTGTGATTACACTTGGAATGGATTTCTTAGGATGTCTTCCAGCTACAAAAGGGACCCTGCTCATACACTGGATAAAATTTTGAACTGCTGAATAGAGGTGATGGCTCTAATAAACATCTCCTCAGACAACAAAGATGAGGCTGTTTGCTTCTGTAGAAAAGTATATCCTTAGCAAACCCATGGCAGCTCCACTCTGACCTGTAAGGTTGCTTTGAGTTGGAATTCACCTGATGTCTGTCAGTTTGGTCCAGACATACACCTAAGTAGAAATTTCAGCCCCAAATTCTAGGTATCATATTACAGCAGTTAAGCCTTCTTGAATAGTCTTTGCACCATGTGGTTGTGCCAAACAAAATGCAGCACACTTTTAAAGGAAAAATGGAAAAAAAAATCCTAGAATTCATCTTATTATTTCAACTCTAAGAGTTTCCGGAATTTACATCAAAACAAGGCAAGACACAAAAAACACTTGACTTTATACAACTATACCATGCATTTCATCCTGGGGTGATGAATTTGATGGACTAGTTGAAGAAATCAGCAAACTAAAGTGTTGATAAAGTTTTTAAAAAAGTTATCTTAATTTATACCCCAAATTTCTATGCTCAAAGATAGGTATCTTAAGCTGTTTTCACCTCATTTAAATATATTTTTTTCCTTTCAATTAAACGATGACTATTTTCATGGAATAGTATTCTCATAACGTAGACTTTTAGTAACGGAAAGCATTTACAGATGTGCTTATCATTTGAACAGAAACAACACTCTAGTAATCAAACAGCCCCAGGGTTATGCTTATATAAAATGTCAGGGAGGAGGGGGAAACTGGAACCCTTTTTCAGGGACATCCTAGCACAAATGGCAATAAGGTACAACAAAATATATACAGAAACGTAGCATACCTCACATTAGCATCAAGTTCGTCCATTACAGGAAATAGGCATAGGTGGTTTGGATTTCAGTGGCCACAGGAAATAGCTGGTCCTGAGATGGGGAGGAGAAGTATAAAAGATAGATTAGGTGAGACGATATATAAGACAAAGAAATAAGAGTCTCTGTCAATGGAGGGGGAAAAAGTCAATTTTAATAAAGCTTTAGAGAAGTACTTATAAACAATATTACAGCTAACACCTATGGGCATATTGAGGAATAGTATATATAAATGGATATTTCCAAAATTTCTTCACAGTCCACCAATCTTCTGGAAATTAAAACATACAGGCACAATTTTTTTTCCCACTCCACAGTTAATGGGCTTGGTTCTTTGTGTTTTTTTTTGTTTGTTTTCCCCCAAAATATAGCCTATTTTTTAAACACTAGCTAGTAAAATTTCAGAGAGGATGGGTTGTGCGCTCTGCTTATTTGACTCCAACAGCAGCTGCCTGGGAAAAAGATAGGCAATCTTTTCTTCTGCAGTTCACAGCCTCAGAAACCCAGTGAAAGGTTAGTTATTAATTGGTTTTGACTTGATAACAATGAGTTGATAGAGTGAAATAGGCAACAGCATTCTTCTGATTGTTGTTGTTGTTATGTGCTGTCGAGTCGCTAGTGACTCATAGCGACCCTATGTACAACAGCCCTAAACTATGTTCTGTCCTGTGCCAATCTCATTGTCTATGACACACCCATCCTGATTAATCAACCCATCTCCTAGAGGGCCTTTCCCTCCTGCGCCTGCCCTCCACCCTCCCAAGCATGATGTCCTTCTTCAAGGACTGGTCTCTCCTTACAACACATCCAAAGTATGTTAGATGGAGCCTCAGAATCCTTGCCTCCAAGGAGCAGCCTGCTTTAACCCTCTCCAGGATGAATCTGTTTGTTTTCTTAACAGTCCATGGTACCCTTAATACTCTTCTCCAACACCAAAGCTCAAAGGCATCAATTCTCCTTCTATCCTCCCTAGTCATTATCCAACTCTCTGATGCACGACAAGTGATTGCAAACACCATGGCCTGTATCAAACGTACCTTAGTCTCCAGAGTGACATGATTGCTTTTCAGTACTTTAGAGAGGTACCCAACAGCACACTTTTCCATCACAATACATCTTTTAATTTCCTGGCTGCTAGTGCCAAGAGTATTGCTTGTGGAGCCAAGCAGACTAAAGCTGTGAACAATCTCAATCTCTTCACCATCCATCCTGATGCTGCCAATTGGCCCAGTGGTGAGACTGTCTTCTTGACATTGAGCCTCAATCCATATTGAAGGCTACAGTCCTTGACCCTCTGCAGCAAGTGCTTCAGGTCCTCCTTGGTTTCAACAAGCAGGTTGTGTCATGTGCATAACGCAGATTGTTGATAGATCTTCCACCAATCCTGATGCCGCATTTCTCCTCATAGAGCCCAGCCTCCCGGATAATCTGTTCTGCATATAGGTTGAACAGGTATGGAGACAGGACACATCCCTGGTGAACGCACTTCCCAATTTTGAACCATGCAGTGTTTCCTTGCTCTGTTCTGACAACTGCCTCTTGGTCCAAGTATAGGTTTCTCATTAGCATGATCAAGAGTTCTGGGATTCCTATCCCTCTCAGAGTCAGCAACAGTTTGTTATGATCCACACAGTCAAACACCTTTGCATAATCAATGAAGCACAGATAGACATTCCTCTGGTACTCCCTGCTTTCAGCCAAGATCCATCTAACGTTAGCTACAATATCACTATGCACTATCTTAATATTTTCTTCTGATTAAGATAGTGCATTTTGTAAAATGGCCAGCTATTTCATTTTCTATAAAGATTTTCAAGGTTTGGGGTGGGGTTTTTTTTTCCCTAAGTTTTCATTTCATTTTATTTTTTAAGAGTAGGGAATAAAAATGTCCTTGGAGACTCAAGTGAACTCTTAAGAACTCTGTCCAGAAAATGAAAATGGATGGACGCACACACATATTTTCTGGGAAGGGAAAGTAAAAGGGAAGTTTTCAATACCCGAAGTTCACCCAGCATAGAGTCATAGAAACACATCACACCCTTCAGTTGGCAGGCACTCCCTGACCCAAACCAAATTGGCTTTCTTAACAACATAGTTACACGGTTTCAGGAATAATCCTATTTTTCATTGAATTTGTTCCACAATATGGAAAATCTGAGAGGGTAAGAGCGGAGCCCAGATCTGTTTCTTGTAGGGCTACTCTACCTAAGTCTTTCATTCTGAACATCATGATCCTTCCCTTAATAAATGGATGGGATCAGCCCTAAGTTTGTTTCCAGCTCTGACATTCTATCATTCCATCTGCTGGTTTTCTAATAGAATCTTAAAAAAGAAGAAACTAAAACTCTGCTTATTGGCATAACAGAACCACAAAACACACTTCTTTTGGGCCCTTGGAGAGGCAAGACCAAATATGTGTGCCTAGAAGCTACACACAGGAAATCTGAGTTGTTCAGTGTTTCTTCTTTGATGTCTCACAGGGCAATATTGAGTCTTGTGTGCATTTCTGGACTGGGATAAGAATAAGGAGGACTCAACCCATTGGACTTTGAGGCTTTCTCCTATATCAAGCAAAGTAACTGTGTATTTCTAGCCTTTTTTTAAAAATTATTTTTAATTTTCCTTTAATTTATTTATAAAATTCAAATACACTGTTTTCAAGAACAAATTCTTTCAATTTTCCTCACCCACCCCCACTCATCAAATTCTCCCTTCGCCCTGCACATCTTCATCCTTCTGCTTCTAACCCCTTCTATCCCTCTTAGATCCTTATACTCATTCTACAATAATGGTTTTATGCAATATTTATTCTTGTGGGATTGAGTTAGTTCACTCAGCATAATGCTCGCCAGACCCTCCCAAGTTTGGTAATAATTTACAGAATCATTGCTCCTGTGTGCTGTATAGTATTTCATTGTGTGAATGTACCATAGTTTCTCAATCTATTTGTTTGTGGTTGGACATTTGGGCTGTTTCCATGTTCTTGCAATGGTGAATAATGCTGCTATGAACACTGGCGTACAAATCTCAGTGTGTCCTTTGGTTCTCATTTTCTCGGGATATATTCCAAGTAGTGGAACAGAATACTGCTTGCTTTAAAATACATGATTAAAATATCTCATTACTGATGTAAGAGTCCCTAGGTGATGCATATGTTTAATGCACTAAATCTGAGAAGTGAAAGATTAAAAGCTTGAGTCCACCCAGAGATACTTTGAAAGCAAAGACTGGTGATCTAGCCCCCTAAACAAGCAATTGACCATTGAATCTTATGGAGCACCGTTCTGCTCCAAGACACAGAGAGTGCCGTGCGTAAGTCAGAGTCAATTTAACAGCAGCTATGATGTACTCAAGTGCCCAGGGATCAATCCTATTTCCTTTTCTATCTAAAAACATAAAGCATTCTTGATGTGACCACATCTATTTTTATGATCCCTTATTCTCATCCATTTTTAGCATGTTGTCAGGAAGGACCAGTCCTTGGAAAAAGACATCATGCTGGGAAAGGTAGAGGGTCTGAGAGAGGAAGACCCTCAATAAGATACACTGACGTAGAGACTGGGCTCTGCTCAAGCAGATCAGCAATCATGGGGATGGTTCTGGATAGAAGATTCCGATTCAGATCTGTAGTTCGTAGGCTCGCTGTGAAGCATAATCAGCTTGAGGGCACATAACAACAAAAACAATGACAAATGCATTCTAACCACTAAAAATTCTCAGAGTTACATTTAGATAATTCTAGCCTGAGTCTTTCTCAAACTTGCATTGCCTCTCTGGTAAATCAACTTAGATGACTAAAAGGTATTTAAAATTAAACTTTTAAAATTGATAGTCCCTAAACAAATGTGCATAGGGATGATAGAAAGAGAATTAATGCCTTTGAGCTGTGGTGCTGGAGAAGAGTATTGAATATACCAGGGACTGCCAAGAAAGCAAACTGATTCATTCTGGAGAGGGTTAAACCAGGCTGCTCCTTGGAGGCAAGGATTCTGGGGCTTCGTCTGACATACTTTGGGCATGTTGCAAGGGGGGACTGGTCCTTGAAGAGGGACATCATGTTTGGCAGAGTGGAGGGACGGCGCAGGAGAGGAAGACCCTTGATGAGATGGATTGATTCTTTGAGTGGAGTGGTGGGAATGAGTGTGTTTGAGATGGCGAGGTTGGCACAGGATAGAACAGCATTTCGGGCTCTTGTACATAGGGTCGCTATGAGTCGCAAGCGACTCGATGGCACATAACAACAATAACACAAATAAATGACTGCTCCTTTGCCTATACTTGTCATCTAAGTAAAGGGCCCCACCATTTGTCCAATTACTCAAGCCAATCAACATGTGAGATTTTCCATTCTTCTGTTTCTTTCCCCATATCCTGGAACTGAACCATCAGCAAATTTTTTGCCTCTACCTTGAAAATAAAGAATCTCTCCACTGGGCGAATTGACAGCATCAGTATTGACGGTGAGGAGATTGAGATTGTTAACAGTTTTAGTTTTGCAGTAGGAAAGTCAGCTGTCAGGGATCTCTCCAAAGTACTGAAGAGCAAGGACATCAGGCTGAAGACTAAGGTGCATCTGATCTGGGCTATAGTCTTTGCAACTGTGTGCTATGCATCAGAGAGTAGGGATGATAGAAAGAGAATTGACCCGTTTGAGCTGTGGTGCTGAAGAAGTGTTGGATATACCATGGACTGCTAGGAAAACAAACAGGCTTGTCCTGGAGATGGTGAAGCCGTGTTGTTCCTTGGAGTCAAGGATTCTGAAGCTTTGTCTGACCTACTTTGGGCATGTTGCAAGGAGAAACATCATGTTTGGGAGGGTTGAGGGACAGTGCAGGAGAGGAAAACCCTCAATGAGATGGATTGATTCAGTGATTGGGGTAGCGGGAGGAGGTGTGTCGGAGACAGTGAGGTTGGCACAGGACAGAGCATGATTTAGGGTTCTTTTATATAGGGTTGATATGAGTTGCAAGCAACTCGATGGCACATAACAACAATAACCTTGAAAAATCAATCCTTAATCCAACCTCCTATTATTACATTTAGAGCCACCACCC